TTAATAACTCTGAGCTTTGGATTGTATCAAACGCTTCGATCTGTATTCCGATGCCTTGGCCAAGCAGGATAGCCAAAACTCATCTGGGAAAAATGACTTCCTACATTCCAAAAAGTATTTTTAGATTTCTTTCGAGAAGGTTTTATAAATATCATAAAAGATGGTATCATTCCCATGCCAGGGCTATTGGAGCGATGACGGTGAAAATCGCTCATGAAACGAAACCCAAGTCGGGGTCAGGCTATAAGAATCGGACGGCTTCCTGTCAGCCAGTGTCTCTATCCGGTGATGAATCGCCGACCAATGACGGATGAGGACACACCCCCTGACACAGCCAATCACACGTTGACATTGCCACACACTCCGCTACCTTAACGCTGTCGTCTCTATTCTGCTACCTAATCCCTTTGCTTATTCAGAGATGCAGCACATTTCAGTTTCCATTTTGAGGGCGGAAAGCAGAAGGTACAATTCGTACGAAACATTCTCAATTTGTGCGCTGCATTGCCGGCCAGATGGGAATCATTGGCTGGCGCGCTGTGGTGGATCTCGGACAGGCAAACATTTTGATGATGAGCGATACAATTTGGAAAATGCGTGTGAATAACCCAAGCATTACGTACATTATGCGCCGTTCACAGTATAAACCTTTGAATACAACTGCCTGTCGCCTGTCGCCCGGTACCACGTCACCGGCTTCAGGGATAACTGATGTATTTACCGGACAAGCGCCCGTGTGTCCGATCTGGGTGTGTGAGGCGCCAGGGCTCGGCTGGATCATGGCTTCCCTGCCCTTACTGTTGACAGCTGTTGTTGGGGCTGTCAGACCCGAGGGGCATTAAGGCTTGGGGGATGTGATATTGAAGGAGAAGAAAAAACATTCGGTTTTGACATTTAACTGTTATTTTACCCAGAGACAAGACCTTACATAGCTACATACTACAATTAATCACAAATATATAATTCGGATGTGTTGACTGGGAAGCATTATCAGTACATAATATAAAATAGATTACACTTTACAGAAGTCCCTGAGAAAGCAGGGAGTTGTTATCCTACGCACCAAGTTTATTTGTTACACAAGAGTTTCTGGAGTCCAGTGTTGTCGAGCAAGCTAGAAGTTCTCTAGTCCAGCGCAGCCTAGAGTTCCCGATTCGAATTCGACAGGTGACGACGGCCCTTGATGAGCCCTCGCTGCGCTGAGCGGGATCCGCCGGGAAGTAGCGGCCGTCCTCGGCGAAGGACGCTGGGAGTCCTGGAGTCCGGCGCTAATGGACCGTGAAGAACCTGGAATCCAGCGGCGACATCTGCCGGAGAGCCTACAGTCCACAATCGAAGGACGAGGAGGTCCTTGCAGCCCAGGTCACGAGGGGCGCCGCCGCCGCCCAGGAGGCCTAGAGCGAGACGAGTTTCTCGTCGGCCTCGTGGGGCGGCGAAGGGAAGCTCGCCAGGTTGCCCATGGCGGCGTTGGGCGTGTGGGCCTGCAGGCTCGGCACCACCCACCCGCCGGAGGACTTTTTGGTCATGTCCTGCGTCATCTGCGGCTGGGGGTGCAGCTGGGCCAGCGAGCACGGGGGGAACTCGGGCACGGCCTGGTGCCCCAGGTGCATGTCGTGGCGGACGTCGCGCATGTGCGGGGGCGGCGCCACGTGGGCCTGAGACACCCCCAGGGGCAGCATGTCCTGCATGGACGTCGGCGGGAAGGGCGGCGGCCCCATGTAGTGCGGCAAGGACCCGTGGGGGCCGGACATGGCCGTGCTCATGACGGGGCCGTGGGGCTGCGTGGGGCCGCTGCAGCTGCTGGCAGCGGCGACGACGAAGGGGTGGGCTTCGTGCTGCAGCTGTGCCTGGCGCTGGACGGAGGGGCCGTGGGAAGACGAGTTCGGGAGGCTCGTGGGGCCGTGGCAGGCGCTGGCGGAGTGGCACTGCGATGGCGGGGAGAGGGTCGTCACTTCGCCGGAGGGCGACATGGGCGGCATGGAGGTGGCGGGCGACGAGCAGGGGGGGCTGGGGCTCTTGTCGGTGCCGCCCTTGGCCTTCTGCTCCTTCTTGTACTTCATCCTTCGGTTCTGGAACCAAATCTTGATCTGGCGCTCGGACAGGTTGAGCAGGGCGGCCATCTCGATCCTCCGGGGGCGGCAGAGGTAGCGGTTGAAGTGGAACTCCTTCTCCAGCTCCACCAGCTGCGCCGACGTGTAGGCCGTGCGGGCGCGCTTGGCCGGCCCGCCGCCCTGGCCTCCGGAGCTGCCGTTGACGCTGACGCCGTCGCTGCCGTCGTACTCTGCGGGAGGGAGAGGAAGCCTTCGTTAGAATCATAAGAACATAAGACGACACAGTATTTTCATGGGACATATTGATTAACAAAATCATTTATGCTAAACAAAATAATAAATAAATAAATAAATATAGTTACTCTAAACTGTATTGGTGATGGTGATAGATACATAAAGCAACGTAGCAAGACTAAATCCCTACAAACTGACAACACAATCAATAACCACAAAGAACAAATGCACAAAAAGAATCGGAACGCAACCTGCACTAAGTCAAATCGTCCAGAAACTGATATAATTTCCATTTTTCACGACAAGTAGACAATAATCGATCAGATAAGACGAGTCACTCTTTTCATACCAAGACAATGATAAAGAGGTATAATATTTCTAAACTATTTTGATGTTCGCTAATAACAGAAATAGAAATAGATGATATATTGAAATAAATCGATATTTGGGTACAGACAGACAGGTATATTGATTTTGATATAAAAAGAGGTTAAAAGAAAAGAAAGAAAGGGAGGATAGGAACATATAGATAGACAGATAGATTTATATATGTATGTATGTATATATGTATATAGACAGATAAATATTACTCATATAAAATAGAAAGATACATAATTCGAATATTCCTCAAAACAAACGCTACTTAGACTGCTATAACCACGGGCGTGGGCGTGGGCGGCAGGCGTAACAGGAGTGGGTTTTGTGGGTGTGTCGGAATAGTTAATTCTAAAGTGTTTGTGTTACAGGTTGCCCTACATCCTTAACCCCCGTTCTATTTAAAGTGCTTTCATTTTTATTTCTCTCTCTCTCTCTCTCTCTCTCTCTCTCTCTCTCTCTCTCTCTCTCTCTCTCTCTCTCTCTCTCTCTCTCTCTCTCTTTCTCTCTTTCTTTTCTTCTTTTTTCTTGTGATTTTTCTCTCTCTCTTCCTCGTTTTTTTTTCTAGACAGGATTAAATGCATGTACGCGAATGTTATACCGTGTGACTATGTTTCCTGAATTTCAAGGTGGATAAAACATTTCTGCTTTTCTTTCCCATAAGGTAATCCATCATCATAAGCGAAATAAAATCAAACAAGTAAACAGATAAACTAATGGAGAAAACGGCTTTAGAACAAATAAATAGAATAATTCAACGGAACAAAGAAAACCGGGAATATTTACGGGCCCAAGCCTCCTAGGTGATACAGGCCACCTCGCGAACGTAAAGCTTTGACTATGACAAGTCTAATCCGCTCAACAGAATGAGCTTGTCATGCTGGTGAGCTTTGCATACAGAGCTTTTTTTCTCAGGGTTTCTTCTTCTTCTCCTTCTTCTTCTCCTTTTCATTGTTATTAATGTCACTATTATTATTAATATTAGTATTATTATCATTTTCATTATTGTTATTGTTATTATTACTATTATTATTATTACTATTACTATTATTATTATTATCATCATCATTATTATTACTATTATTGTTATTATTTTTTTGTATTATTATCAATATTATTATTACTCCTACTTCTCCGTCCTCTTCATCTCATACTTTTCATCATTATCATCGTTTAATATATATATATATATATATTTTTTTTTCTGCGTAACACCCCCCCCCCCCTTCACCCGAAAAAAAACAGTATGTATTTCACGAATTTACTTTCACAAATTATAAATCAAACCGTCTTAAAAAAATGGGGGGGTGGGGGGGGGTGGCGATAAGTACATTCTTAGACCCAAAATCTCCTTCCTGTCACCCACAGTGGAGGGGGGGGGAGAAGGAAGAGGAGGAGGAGGAGGAGGAGGAAGAGGAGGAGGAGGAGTAAGAGGCTGCCAAGGGTGGGGGTGATGGAGTGTGGGGATGGGTGGGGAAGGGGGGGGGGGTTACGTGTAGTACTAACAAATGATCGTAAAGCTTCTTTTTGTGACAAATTGGAGTCTCAGTGTCGTCTACAAAGGCTTCAGACGTCCACCTCAGGGCTTTCGGGGCGGGGAGGGGGGGGGATAAGGGATTGGGGAGGGAAGGGAGGAAGGAGGAAGGGGAGAGGGGGAAGGGGGGAGGGGAAAGAAAGAGGAGGATGGAAGGAGCAGGGAGAAGGTAAGTAGGAGAGGGAAAGAATTGGAAGGGAAGAAGAGAAGGGGAGGAGGAATGGGGGAGGAGGGGTAGTAAGGAAGAAGAGAGATAGGAGAAGGAAAGAAAGGGGAGACATGACAAAAAAAAGAAGTAAAGAAGGTAGGGATGAAGAAGAAGAAAGGAAAAGAAAAAAAAGTAAAGGAAAGAGAGGAGAGGAGAGGGAGGAGAAGGGAGGTAAGGGAATGAAAGGAAGCGAAGAGACGAAGAGAGAAGGAAGGGGGAGGGGAAGGGGAGGGGAAGGGGGGGAGGGGGCATCAGATGGGCGTGAGCTGAGTAAGAAACGTGCCCAGGGCGTATGGCATGGATGGGCGATGGTTTTCTTAACGTGACTTTAACGGGAGGAAAGGGCGGGGGAGGGGGTAGGGGGGAGAGGGGAAGGGAGAAGGGAGGAGAGGGGAAGGGAGAAGGGGGGGGGGGTAAAGTTAAGATGATTTTGAATGTTTGATTTCATCTTTGTTTTTTGTTTTTTTTATCATTAAAGTTATTTCTATAGTTAAGAATAGTTATAGGTATTATGTAACTACATCAGCGATTGAGTCTAGTTTCCTAGTTTCCTTTTTTATACTTTTCTTTTTCCCTTTTCTTTATCGATCTCTTTCCCATTCGTACAAACAGACGTGCATATATTTTCTTTTCTCATTTTAATACAAATACGGACATATTTCTCCTTTCTCCTATTTAGATCCCTTTTCTCTTTCCTCCCCTTCCCTTCCCATCCCTCCACCCCCATACCCCCACCCCTCCCCAACTCTACCCCCACCCCCCACCATCCCTACAAACCCCCACCTATCCCCTTCTCCTCCACCCCCCACCCCCCACCCAACTCCCTGTTCCCACCCTCCAACCCACACATCCCTTTCCTCCAACCCCAACCTCCCCTCCCCCCTCCCCTCCAACCCCCTACCCCTTCTACCCCCCCTCCAACCCCCTACCCCTCACCCCCACCCCCACCCCCCGTCAGCGTGATCCATCTTACGTAAGTGTCCGAAAGCACTCGATCCCTCAAACAATCGAACGGATGGTTACACTCACTATAAAACTCGAGAAGGGGCGGGAGAAGGGAAGAGGGGAGAGAGGGGAAGGAGGAGAAAGAGAGAGAGAGGGGGGGGAGAGAGGAGAGGATAAGAGAGAAAGGGGGAGAGAGAGGAGAGGAAAAGAGAGAGAAGGGGGGGGAGAGGAGAGGAAAAGTGTGTGTGTGTGTGTGTGTGTGTGTGTGTGAGAGAGAGAGAGAGAGAGAGAGAGAGAGAGAGAGAGAGAGAGAGAGAGAGAGAGAGAGAGAGAGAGAGAGAGAAACAACAGGAGAAAGGGGAAAAAGGGAGAGAAAGAAGGGAGATGAAAAAGAGGCGATAAGAAGGGCAGAAAGAGAAGAGGGAAGGGGAAAAGATAAGGAATAGAAAGGGAGAGAGGAAAAAGGAAGGAAGAGAGAGGCGACAAAAAAAAACCGAAGAAACGCGGGAAAATAAAATGGTAAAAGGAGAAAATAAGAGATGAAGGGAGATGAAGAAAATCCATAGGAAATGGAGAAGGGAAGAAGGAGAAAAATTATAATGATTGATAATAAAGAAGACAAGATTGACAACAATAATAATGATAAATGTAGTAATAATGATAACAATTACAATGTTAATGAAAAAGGTTATTATAATAATAATCGTGATAATAATATAAATGAAACGATATGAAACAATGTTTTCTTTGAAACTACTAAAAAGAACATTCAAGATAAAAGCATAGAATCACAAGCAAGAATAATATTTACAAAAATGAGAAGAAGAAGGAGGGAAAAAAAAGAAAAAAAAAGAAAACACACACAAGAGAAATCTACCCCCCTTTGCCCCCTCCCCCCCCTTCACACAAGCCTCCCTTCTCCTCCTTCAAGCCCCAGTTTCTCCCCCTCCCTTCCCTCCCCCTCCCCCTTCCCCTTCCTCCTCCCCTCCTTTATCCTGCCACCTCCCCTCTACCCCTCCCCTCTCCCATCCTCGACCTCCCGTCCCTCCTAATCTTTCACCCTTCTCCCCCATCCTCCATCCTCTTCGTCTCCCCTTCGCACAAATCTTCTTCTCTTTTCCCTCTTCCTCAACCTCCTTTCCAACCTCCTCTGCTCCCCTTCCCTCAAATCTCTCTTCTCTCTTCCCTTCTTCCCCCTTTCCACCCATCCCCTCCTCCTCCCCCACTCACCCTTCTCTTTCCTCCTACTACCTCCTTTCCTCCCTTCCTCTCCCCTTCCCCTCCCCCTACCCTCTCACCTCCTCTTCCCCCTCCTTCCCCCCCACTCCCCTTTCCTCCCACCCTCTTCCCCCCCACCCCCTCACCTCCTCTTCCCCCCACCCCCTCACCTCCTCTTCCCCCCACCCCATCACCTCCTCTTCCCCCTACTCCTACCTCCCTTCACCCCCCTTCCCCCTACTCCCACCTCCCTTCCCCCCCTTCCCCCACTCCCCTTCCCCCCCTTCCCCTCCCCTCCCCCCGCCCCCCCTACAATCCCCGCCGTACACGTCATCCGTGAAGATTCTTTGCACTGTCACTCAAAGCGAACGAAATCCAGCCTTCTCGCAAAATACAGGAAAGGTTGCATGATAGACTCGCTTCCATTTTTTCTTTGTCTTTACTTAGCGGTGGCCTTTGATGCCGAGGCTGGTGGAATGAGAGTAAATAATGACACGAAGATAAAGAAAAGAGAGAGAGGGAGGGAGGAAGAGAGAGAGAGAGAGAGAGAGAGCAGAGGTAGGAGGAGATAGATGGAGATCGAGAGAAAGAGGGAGGTAGGAAGAGGTGGATAGAGATAGACGAAGGGATAGATAGAGGTAGGTAGGTAGAAAGATAGATAGATAGAGAGAGAGAATAAGAGAGAGAGATGGACTGTTTGATTCCATTCTCATTGG